TAGATAGATAGATAGATAGATAGATGATAGATAGATAGATGATAGATGATAGATAGATAGAGAGATAGATAGAGAGAGAGAGAGAGAGAGAGAGAGATGATAGATAGATAGATAGATAGATGATAGATAGATAGATAGATAGATAGATAAATGATAGATGATAGATAGATAGATAGATAGATAGATAGATAGATAGATAGATAGATAGATAGATGATAGATGATAGATGATAGATAGATAGATAGATAGATATTAGATAGATAGATAGATAGATAGATAGATAGATAGATAGATAGATAGATATTAGATAGATAGATAGATAGATAGATAGATAGATAGATAGATAGATAGATAGATGATAGATAGATAGATTGATTGATTTATATAGGCATAGATATAGATAGATAGATATAGATATCTCCCACCAACGTCAGCAAGCCACAGTCAGTCAAAATTCATATTAGTGGTCTCCGGGATTTAAAATTATGAGTTTGGTGGTCCCTAAGGTCCAAAAGGTTGGCAACCCCTGCTTTAGAACACGAGAAGCAGGTAGCACCCGTCTACCTACAGTGAGTTACACCGCATTACCTGAAATCGTAGTCACCTGGACCAGGGTGCCATTTTCCTTCCAGTGGGCATCATCAATCCCTTCATAGAAGCAGGCTGCCCCCTGGTTGCACCAGAAGGGGGCGGAGTCTTCAGCCCGCAGGTGTGGGAAGGTGCAGTTCCCAAGCTGGAAAAGCTCGTACCACTCCATGGTGTAGTTCTTCCCAGTCAAGGAGCTCCTGAAGCCCACGGCATCGTGCATAATTTTCTGAGAAAGGAAACAAACACACAGGCTACAGAGACGGGGCCGTGGACTACGGTTCCCACACCCATACACTCCCTCACAAGGGAAAAGCAAAATGGGCAAACATCCCATCAGGACCTTTTAAAAACTGCAAGGTTCCCCACCCACCCAATTTAGCACAATCGGTGCTTTGGTTTCTAAGTAAAAATTCATCATTTTTCCAAATCCCAAAGATGTTGGGTTTGTTTGTTTTTTGCAAGAGGCAACTGGACTTTCTGGTTTTTCTTTTGAAGGCTTTTCACTTCTCATCCAAGCCGCTTCTTCAGCTCTGACTGGAGGTGGGGAATGGAAGGATTTATACTGAAAGAGGCCATCTAAGTCCAAAATTGAACACCCCTCTTCTCAACTGAAGGGAAGGGCTGCGAGCAGTTCAGGTCTCACCAGGCTCAAGGTTGACTCAGCCTCCCATCCTTCCGAGGTGGGTAAAATGAGGACCCAGATTGTTGGGGGCAAGAGGCTGACTCTGTAAACCGCTTAGAGAGGGCTGTAAAGTGGCATATAAGTTTAAGTGCTATTGGGAAGGAAGGAAGGAAGGAAGGAAGGAAGGAAGGAAGGAAGGAAGGA